ACTAGTTATAGGTTTTAAATTTACTGAGGGAACAACTGAAAGTGTTGATCCAGCTAATTCAGGAATATCCTCTTTCTTGGCTGAAACATTAAGTGCCTTACTTCTGTGTCCATTAAGAACATTTTCAGCGCTACGAGCAGGAGACTGAGGAACAGCTCCATGGGTCAAAGGAGAAGCTGTAAAGTCATTATCTAAATCTTGAGGAACATCAATTTTTGTTGGCCATGATTGCCTAAAATAAACAAAACAGAGGAAACGGGAAAATGCAAATTCGGTTAAAAATAAAAAGCAAAATTACTTCAAAGGAAGAGATTCCATGTTAAATGCTTCTTATTTTAATACAATATATTATTGCTACAAATAATATAAAAAAGTAAGAAATAATCAATATGTATTTTTAAATTAATCACATTTTTATCCATTAGCTTGAGTTCAAATATTTGAATAATTAATTCTATCTGGCTACATTTTAAACTTTAATTTCTTAAATCATTCCAGACCATCTTTTGAAAACAAAAAGACAAATTAAGGCATCTTATATCAACATATAAACAAAATGGAAATTCCAATATGTCTCAAACAAATCTTTGGATTCATTTTTTTCTCTTAATGGCATTAGCTGTTTAATTAGTTGGTTTTTTTTAGTAACTAAAGTGATACTAATGTACTGATATGCAGTGCAACATTTTAGGACTTTAAAAATGCCATAGTAATAATGGAAGAGGCAAGTCCAACAGATATTGGGGCACCTCCACAACAGTATTTTATAATCTAGCCATCCCAGTGTGTGTGGCTCTCAAAAGAACTGCTGGAACCTTTGCATATGTAAGTGGGACAGGTGACTGATATCCCAGCTTGAAGGCATGTGAATTAAAAGATTAAAAAATTAGACTCAAGAGAGCCAACTGTGCACTTTCTCAAAAGAAAAGTAGTGAGGACCATGTTAAAACAAATAGATGAAAGAAAAATAATTGTATTGGTTTTCAAGTGGGTAACCCACTCTGCCCTCTGAATATTTTTTTTCATCAATGAGAAATCAGACGAATTTGGACTACATTGAGAATGAGACTTCATAAATTATTTTTTATGATTAGTAGATTTCTAGCCCAAATTTCAGGTATGGAAATTTTTAAAAATGTTAACATTTTTACCTCCTCTGTCCTATTCATGTTTGATTGCCTCATTGCTAATTTTAAATCTGAGTTTTTAGGCAATCAATTCAACCAGACTTATGCATATATTTCAGAAGTACAGTTCCTGCTCAGGTTAAGAGAATTCCAAGTGCATGCAGATTTTCACTCTTAAAATACTCATGACTTTAAGCTTTAATCCTATTCTCAGCCTGGGCACCTCCCCGTTCGTAATTTTCCCTGTAAGGTTACCCTCTTCAAAAACACCAAACTTTTTTCTTAAAAACAAAATCATAAAAACAAACAAAAACAAGAACAGTGACACTGTAAGAAAATTTAAGTATGGAAAATGTTATCTTTCTCCCATCTTTATTTCAACTCCAGTCACACCAGTTGCTACTTTGAAAATATAAACTGCTGCTAACATCAAGTATTTGATTTCATCATATAAAGCAAGTAGTATCTAACTTGCTATGTTTTCTTTTCATTTACTAAAATAAGATTTCTTACTTCATATACTCTGTTTGGTGGAGCTTTTTAAATACAGTGCCATTTTTCTGAACTTTTTTGGGCTATTTCTATATCATAATATATAATTTATTTTAGCCTCTATTATAGTGATTTTAAATAGTCTTCCTGAAGAGACTCTCCTAATTATATCTTTAAGTTGTTTTTTGATTTCTATATTTAAATTAGTTTGATATTTTTTGAGTTTGTTTATTTTTCTATCTCCTGCTTTTTCATACAATTGTTCTTTAGAAAAGGCTGCAATAAGATTTAAGCATTATCATTTTTAATTGCTTTGTCTTTCCATATCTCAAAATTCCATGCCCAGTGAGAACTGGACATGGAACCACTGATTGGTTTAAAATTGCAAAAGGAGTCTGGCAAGGCTGTATACTGTCACTCTGCCTATTTAACTCATAGACAGAGCACATCATGAGAAAGGCAGGGTTAGATTAATCAAAAATTGGAATTAAGATTGTCAGGAGAAATATCAACAACCTCAGATATGCAGATGAGACCACTCTAATGGCAGAAAGTGAAGAGAAACTAAAGAGGCTCTTGATGCGGGTAAAGAAAGAGTGCAAAAGTTGGCTTGAAACTCAACATTTAGAAAACTACGATCATGGTATCTGGCCCTCTCAATTCCTGGCAAATAGATGAGGAAGAAATGGTGGTAGTGACAGATTTTATTTTCCTGGGCTCCAAGATCACCGCAGATGGGGACTGCAGCCTAGAAATTAAAAGACACTTGCTCCGAGGGAAGAAAGCTATGGCCAATCTAGACAGCATACTAAAAAGCAGAGACATCACCCTGCCAACAAAAGTGCATACAGTAAAGGCTATGGTTTTATCAGTTGCAATGTATGGCTGTTAAAGTTGGACCATAAGAAAGGCTGAGCGCCAAAGAATTGAAGTCTTTGAACTATGGTGCTGGAGAAGACTCCTGCAAGTCCCTTGGACTGCAAGACAATCAAACCGGTCAGTCCTAAAGGAGATTAACCCTGATTGCTCTTTAGAAGGCCAGATCCTGAAGATGAAACTCAAATGTTTTGGCCACCTAATGAGAAGGAAGGACTCACTGGAGAAGAGCCTAATGCTTGGAAAGATTGAGGGCGAAAAAGGGGACAACAGAGAATGAGGTGGCTGGATGGAGTCATTGAAGCAGTAGGTGTGAAGTTAAATAGATTCCAGAGGATGGTAGAGGACAAGAAGATCTGGAGGAACATTGTCCATGGGGTTGCGATGGGTTGGACATGACTTCACAACTAACAACAACTAAAAATCTCAAAATTAATACCATAATTGGTTTTTTTTAAAAAAAATTAGAGAATACACTCATTATTATGCACACATCTTAGATTTAAGGCCTCTATCATTATACTTGAGCTTAGCCTTGAAATTCATGTAATATCTCCTATCCTTTCATTCAAGTAAGGTCTGAAAGGGAGACCTTTGTCTAAAAATCTATACATCATCATATTTACTGTGAGAAATAAAATGCACAGGTACAGTATAGGTGGTACCTTGCTCAATAGTAGTAACTGTGAGAGGGATCTTTGGAGTCCTAGTGGACAACCATTTAAATATGAGCCAGCAGTGTGCAGCAGCTGCCAAAAAAGCCAATACAGTTCTAGGCTGCATATGCAGAGGGATAGAATCAAGATCATGTGAAGTGTTAATACCACTTTATAATGCCTTGGTAAGGCTACACTTGGAATACTGCATCCAATTTTGGTCGCCACAATGTAGAAAAGATATGGAGACTCTAGAAAGAGTACAGAGAAGAGCAAGGGGACTAGAGGCTAAAACATATGAAGGTTGCAGGAACTGGGTATGTCTAGTTTAATAGGGGAAACATGATAGCAGTGCTCCAATATCTCAGGGGCTGCCACAAAGAAGAGGGAATTAAGCTATTGTCCAAAGCACCTGAGAGCAGGACAAAAAGCAATGGGTGCAAACTAATCAAGGAGAGAAGCAACTTAGAACTAAGGAGAAATTTCCTGACAGCTAGAACAATTAATCAGTGGAACAACTTGCCTCCAGAAACTGTGAATGCTCCAATACTGGAAGTTTTTAAGATGTTGGGGATTGGACTAGAAGACCTCCAAGATCCCTTCCAATTCTGTTAGTGTGTGTGTGTGTGTGTGTGTATACATTCATACATACATACTGTATATATATGAAATTTTAATACAATTAATTTATATATGAATAAAATATATAATAAAAAATCAAACAATCTTAAATCTTACCTGAATTGCGCTTTTATATTGCTTGGACTTGCTGATCTGGTTTGTATTTCTTTTTCTTGTTTCTCTCTTAAAATCCGTTCTGCTAGTAAAAAGTAGGTAGCAGTGATGTGATTGTATTTGTTAGTTTCCAGAGCCCTGAAAAATGAAATATGTATTAATGGTTTTTGTCGAATGGACATATTGCCAACAAGTTGAAGAGTACCTTATTACAGAAATTTGTACCTTACACATCTTTAGAAATGGCCACTGCATTACTAAAAACTGCAAAATTAATGCAGCAAATCCAATAATTAGACAATAATACCTGTGTTGTTACAATGGCTGGAATACATTATTGCAGGCTGACTCTGCTCATTGCCAGGAGTTTCAATCTTGACCGACTCAAGGTTGCTTCAGCCTTCCATGATTGATAAAATGAGGGCCCACATTGTTGGGGACAATATACTTACTCTGTTTACTCTCTAATTGTTTAGAGAGTGCTGCAAAGCACTATCAAGCAGTGTATAAGTCTAAGTGCTATTGTTAGTCCTTGACTTATGATCTTATCAACCGTTTGAAGTTACACTATTCCCTCCTCCCAGGCTATTTATGAACAACCCAATTATGAAGTTCAGAAGGGCGTCTCTTCTTTTCCTCTCCCAATCACTTGACTGTATGTTGGATGCTCAGCAACCAGCTTGCATTTAGGGCTGTTTGAAGGGTCCTGCAGAAGGTGGCCAGGTTTTTGCCTAAAACCAGCATTCACTTTTCCCCCCTTTTTTGGCAAACTAGTCATTAACAAACTGGTTCACTTAATGTCTGTGGCATTTGCTTAACAACCTTCATAACAAAGGTTGGTTTGGTCAAGTGGATGACAGCTGCTGTAATGGACGACCAGTACACTCATAGGTTGAGGACTACCTGTATATGGAAAAAAAAATCTTAGTAGCTGAAAAATGTTCTGAATTACAATAATTTATTGAATGCGAGTCTCACAGTATTTACAATTGCCAGATACAGCATACAACCACTTTCCTATATTTCACCATGTAGCTCTACAACAAAATTTCTGACACATGTGGCTGGACTACAGTCACAAATGAGTTGTAATTAAGATTACTCAAAAAAACTTTATTTTCAATGACATCTTAGGATAGCTAAGTAATTGCTAAGTAATTGCTAAAAGAAGCAACATCAGGCACCCACCCCCACTTTGGAGAAGTGGCAGTTCAAGTGTCTGAATTCAAAGGCCTGAATAGCCTTTTCTTCCACACTCCTTCAGAGTTTGGATGATTTATCACTATTTAATGGACTCCAGGAATCAATTTTAAGGAAGAAATCAGTCAAGAAACACATTACATATTATCTTTAAATATTCAATACCAATGTCTTCTGCCCTGAAATAAAATCAAAATTCAAAAATTCGAACGAATCAGAATTCGTTCTTCATACGAATATAAAAGTCAGGGAGACGGGGCTGACGTCGCAGCGATACGACACATCTCAATGGTGGAATCGCACTAATTCCATCTGCCAGGAGGTTTTGAGGGACCCAAATCACCCTGGAGGGGCGATGAACACAAAGAGGACACTCTGCTGATCACAAAGAGAATACATACTCATTTGATGCAGAGAAGCTCTCAATCCAGTGGGAAGAAAAAGACGATCATTGCGTGCCTGACTGGACTTATGACAGCCGACCAATGCAGCAAGTATAGAGGTTGAGGAATAGATAGATCTGGATGAGATTTTTCTAATTCCTGTTGTGGATTTTACTCTCTAAAAAAGCCTGGAAGAAAGTGGGACTCAAAGAAGAGAAGGTGGAATTGTCTGTTTTCCACCCTCAAGAATAGTGGCAAGCAAACTTGTGAGCTATTTATTAATCTGTAAGTAGAGAAAACAAAACTTTTTTAAAAAAGGGAGAAGAAATTGAAAAGCTAGAAAGTTGGACTGGGATTTTAAAAACAAAATAGATTAACTTGAAATTCTGTAAAAATTAAAATTCGGACCTGTGGGACTTTTAAACAGCTTTGAAGCAGATGAACAACTTAAGACAACAAGAGAAAGGAGAGAAATAGAGCAACAGTGACACCTACTGAAGAAAACTGCAGAGAAGTGAAAGTAATAAAAGTACATTGGAAATATGATCTTGGCTATTGAGATAAGCTGTTAGCCTCAATAACACTTGTTTATCAAATTGCTTACATCATACAGCACAGACTGAGAGTGAAACACTATAAAAAATTTAAAATTGTAGCTCTTTGAACTTAGAAGAAAATTAAACAAAATAATTACAAGGTGGGAAACAGCAAAGAATTTTCCTTTTTCCTTCTTGCTTGAACTCCCCACCTTTTTTGGGGGGGGTGATATACTAATTTGAATGGTTGAACTTTGAAGTTTGATGGGCCTAAGTGGATTGCAAATTTATTAAATTTACTAACTCAAGTAAATAAGAAAAAAGGATTAAAGTTTGAAGAACTTGAAGACAAGGATCTTTTATTATTATTTTTCTTTGACTTTCTTGTCTGGCCTTCAATAATAGCAAATTTGAAACTGTTTGTACTTTGGTGATTTGATTTGTGAAAATATTGGTTAAGTAGAAGTTGGTGGGGGATTGACAAAATACTACAAGATTGTAGTGTTATTGCTATTTTTTTAAAAGGTCTTGAAGAACTTAAGCTTATTCGAAATGACTAGCACTTCAAATTTAAGTAAAGTATGGGAAAAATACATTTGCACCCTCAGCAGCAGCAGCTGCATCAAGTCCAGCAAGCCAAAAATCTTTGGATAGCATGTTGCAGCAGGAAAAAATGAATATGATGAACAAAATGCAAGCACAACTGAAATTAATGCTCCAAACACTTCAAGAAGCAAAACATTTTGAAGACATGGAAATAATGGAAAAGATGGATGATAAAATGGAAAAGATTCAATAGACAATAATGAAAAATGAATGAAGGATGCAGAAAATAGAAATCAGAACAGAGAAGAAAATGGAAGAGCTGGATGATAGACTTACACAGACAGATAAAAATCTTGAGAATATAATAATTATGTTGGAGATGGATAAAGCTGAGTATTTCCTGAGATTCCAGATCTTTGAGGAAGAAAAAGGGGAAAACCTTGCAGAGATAATGACAGAATTGTTGGTGGAAGTTGTGAAGGGGGACAAGCAAAAGGGGTCTGCTGGAATGCATGAAATATTTAGATTATATACACGATATGCATTAAGAAATTAATTACCTAGAGAGGTACATGAGATTTACCAAAAAGGCACTAAGAATAGAGATTCTTAAAAGAGCAAGAGATAACCCATTGAAATATAAAAGAGAAATAATTGTTCGGAAAGAGGTTCCAAAAGAATAAGAGATACAAGAAAACAATATCAAGTTCGGACAAGACAATTAATTAAGCATGAATCAGATGGTTGATACCTGCGGGAATTGTATTGACTTGGAGGGATCAAAGGCATAAATTGGATACTATAGAGAAAGCAGAGCAATTTTATGATAAGCAACTTGGATCATATGAGGAAAAAAGAAAGAGAGAAGAGATAGATCACAAGAAAGAAGCAGCAGCATTAGGAGGAGGAAATATGCAACAATAAGAAGAATCAAAGTAGAATCAGAGAACAGAACGAGAGGATACAAAGATAAAAGAACGGACAGAAATAAGAGCAACCACAACAACAAAACCTATCTACAACTAAAACTATGGAAAATGAAATAACACTATTGTCGATTAATATAAGTGGTCTGAATTCTCCTATGAAAAGGAAAAATAATAAATTTTTAATAAATTAGGAAAGCTAAAATTAGACTTCGTCTTCAAGAGGTTCGCATAAAAAAAAAAACACAATAAATTATTGAAAAATCTTAAAATTGGGAAACTATACTTCTCATTAGCACAACAAAATAGGCCTGGCGTTACATATTAAAAAAAAAACAATAAAAGCAAGACAATTTTTTCCAGATAAAGCAGAGAGGATTTTGATGGTGGATGTAACAATGAATTATAGCAAATACTTTTGGTAGCAATATATGCAATAAATCATAAACAATAAATTTTTAATGAAAAGAATCCTCCAGGATCCTGGTCAGAAGTGCGAGAATTGCCCCATTGCCCCCTGGCCGTGCCAGGAAACGCTGCCATGCTGCCAGGTGCTCTGGATCACAGATGCTCATCAGTGCCACAGGCTGGTGGGCTGGGGCTGCACATGAAGCCCACTCAGGCAGGAAGCCCCAGCCCACCTGTCCTGGCCAACTGCTTTGATCTCCTAGGAAGTTACCACCGGGATCCCCTCTCCACATCTTTGGGCACACAAGCCATTGCCCGTTGCTCTTTTGAGTTTTGGCGCCAGTCAACTTTCATGCACATGCCAGGAAAGTGATCTTCTGGTTTCTGGTGCACATGCTAGTGTTCATGCACACATGCACAGGAGGAACTGAAAGACCAGGTAGGTGATGCGCATGCATGCACTGGAACCAGAAGATCATCTTCCTGGTGTGTAAATGCGCATAACAAGTGGCTTCTCTTATGGTTTCTGGCACTTCCTCGCATGTGTAAACCAGCTGGATGGCATGCTGGAACCCAGAAGACCAATGGGCAACAGCTCGCGTGAGATGATGCTGTGTGCCACTTCTGGCACATGTGACATAGGTTCGCCATCAAGGAGGTATAACATACAGGGGGAAAAAACAAGAAAAAGAGACAAAATTCAAAGAAGTTAATAGAAGAACATAAGAGACTGGAACTAGAATTAAAGAAAGAACCAAACAAGAAGATCTTAAAAAATCAAGTGGAACTAGTAAAACATAAAATAAATTTACTAAAGGAAGAAGAATTGGCATTAAAAAAATGCTAAATAGAACCTTTTTGAAAACGCAAATAAACCAGGAAGATAGTTGACATACAAATTAAAAACAGAGGAAGGGAGTAAATTGATACATGGGCAGAAATGAACTTTATACTATCAAAATGAGGATTAAAAAAATTCAAGATTATTATGAAAAGTTGTATGAGCAAGAGAATGTTTTAGAAAAGAAAATTAAAAAATATTTGGAAAAAGCAGAACTACTTAAAGTACCAGAAAAAGTAAATGAACGGATATCAATGATGGAATTGTCAGAAGCGATTAAGAGACAAAAGAGCAATAA